AAGTTTATGTAAATTAACGTGATTTTTTATCACATATAAAACCACGACACGCTTATGATTTTTCTTTGTGTTTTGCTCCTGAATTATTAATGAGTTTTTGAAATATTGGTTAGAGTGCTGCACCTGAATTGCAGGGCAGCAGGTTCGATTCTTGCCCGGGGCTTGCTGTTGCATTTTTCACAAGTGTGCCTGGTTAGGTCTCATAAATTAATATAAATTTCCACTCGATAATTTCCATCTATACAAGACCCTTCAATATTATTCAATTGCATATAACCTGTCTTCTATAAGCTGTTTCTTGTTGATCAAGTAGTTTTTAAATCAAACATTTTCTTGTACACAGTAGCATGAATTTCCTTTTTTCATGACTTTGACAAATAGACTAGATATTATTTTCAAAACATGTACACTATATGTGTGCTGTAACTTTATTAAATGCAAGTTAATGAATCACATATATCATGCCACTGATATAAAGACCTAAATGTAGAGATAATTATACCTTTAGATATGTACAATGTACTGTAGTTTTGTACACAATATAATCAGTACAAACACAATGGCTTTGTTTCAATTTGAGCATATAAAAAATTAGTATTTTGATAGCGTGGCCTTTCACGATATATAAATACCTGATAATTGATAAATAATGAGTGCGAACACAACAGCTCCAAAATAACAACAAATAACCAAAGCTTTACCCACCTCAATCTATTTTTAAAGAATATATTTTTAATCTTTAACATATTATCCTCTAAATCCCTAACACCTAATTTCTATAATAGTTTCTATAAATATGTCATCCTTGTTAAATCTCTCTTCTTTTCTTTTTTTTTCTCTTTCTGACATTAAATGTAATGAACAGCTAGTACTACAACTTTCAACAACTAGTTCTAATTATTATATAAATTAACGGTCACTATGGGTAGATGCTTAATATGTAATTACACTGATGAATTCGGATTTGTCTCCAATTGTGCACGAATTATTCCATTTATATGGATAGTAGGAATTAAGGTAGCCCAAAATTAATAAGCCTTATGGTTTCTATTGGGCTCCCTTGCCAAGTATGGTTTCTATTGGGCTCCCTTGCCAAGTATAATGTTTATTTATTCTTTCTTTTGTGTGATATTATTTCTTATGGCTAAAATAAATTTGATTTGATAAGGTGTAAATTTTCGGCGAAAAAATCAATATTTTATTTGTGTTTCCTCGACAAAAGCCGTGAACAAAAGCGTGCATATTAACATGAACATATTTGTCAAAAAATTGTGTATTTGTCGTATTTTACGAATCTGTCACATGATTTACCACCGTCGGTACATGGTACACCGCAACACGAAATTTACAGCCCATAGGTGGGCATGCAACAAAAACTGATGGGTATGCAACAAAAACATGTTTGCATAGAACTAAACAAGTTTGCACACATCACAATGTCAATGTGCCAACACTCACAACAGATGCTGCCAATGATATAAGTTACGTCACTTCAAGTGTGTGAGAGCAATGCAGCCATCACGTTAATGTCATTGTACAGCACTACCTCCAACATCTCCCATGGCGATGAGATATAAGAAGAGACTGATGTAAAATATTTTGAAATCATTCATAATAATAATGTTCTTGTGACATTATGATTGTTGTGATGGTATGATTTTACCATTTAGTCATGGAAAATGCACTATGGAAGTTTTTAATTATAATTGTTTACTTCAATAACATTTTAATTATACTTTAGACTTTAATAATGTATTACTTGCCTCCATCAGGCAAACCAGTGATCTGTTACAGCTTACTCAAGACACAGATTAAGAATATATATGAGAATATTCTTACAGTTACAGTAATCTGTGCAGCTCAAGCTTTGCCTTCACATTAGCAAGGTGCATTATTATTAAAACCTGTTGCATTCCTATAATAAACAGGAAATTTGCTAGTAATTAGCTAGCATGGCCCTAACTGAATATGTCCAAAGTGTATACAAAATTTTAAGTTAAGATCTCAAAAATTACAGCTTCTCCTTTGAATCGGTGCAACGCAGGTTTTCAAATGATTAGATCAAAAAGCAATTGTCCAATTGAGGCAAACAGAATCAAATCTTGCATATTTTGTGAATGGTCAAATCAAACCGATTATCCCTTACCTTTATATAGTTTTTTTCAATAGTTAAGCTATTAAATCTAAAATACACACATATTAAACATCATAATTTTTTGTTTGTTTACATGCAGTCGCAGAATATTAATTTGCCAAATGTTACGTCGTCTATCACACAATATTTACAAATAGAAAATAGTTGATTCACTTACCAAGAACTAACACGATTATGCTTGTTCCATCTATAAATAATTTCTTTACATCCCTGTTGTGTTCTTCTAGCTTTCAAACATATTTTTCAGTAATGCCAACTCTTTCATGCTCGGCAATGCTTGACGACATTTAGGAAGCCAGACTTTCAAATTTGATTTAAGTCGTTTTGTACATTTCACCACAAATTTATATTTAGCGTAATACTTTTGTCAGTACTGGAAGACGATTTTGAGCTAAATAAACTGACTTTTCTTGCAAAAATTATCATTTTAGTAAGTTGTAGCGGCAAATTGTAATATAATCTATAGTGTTTGTTTACGCTCGCGTTCCTGAGTCCCAGGCCCTCAAGCACCACAGATTTTTTTCCAAAAATGGTCAAAATTGCCATGTTTGAGGGCCTATATCTCAGAGAGTATTGAACTAAATCAAAAAAGGTTGAAGAACTTCTACAATAACTTTTTCTGCTCTTTTCAAATCCGTACTTTAAGTCTATAACTATTTATTGCAATGTTTATAACTGAGCAATGTCAGAACGAATAACTTCACTAACTTGAAAGGTTTTATTTTATTTTATTTATTTACTAGCTTTGTCATAGGTGACTGGTGATCCCTACAGGGCTTATTGCCCCATTCACAGGGTCCCTTAAACTAAACATTTACTTTAATTACAACACATTTTATCTACAAGGCTCGACAAAGGACGACACGAGTGACATTTAACACAGACAGTTTTAAACGATTGTGGTACATTAATGTCATATATAAGTTCAGTCATTTCGTGATAATATTTCAACAAGTATGATTTGAATTGGCCAATTGTGACATCAGCGTCACAGATATAAGATGGCAAGCAATTATATGTTCTAGGAGCTGCTCTATTAAAATAGCTATTTTGAAAAGTTAAAGTGTTTACTCTAGGAACGTTAGTTGAAATACTTTTAGTTGAATTGTGTCTCGTGACACGACCACTAGACTTCACAACAATGTTTGGATCATTTGACTTCAGAGCTTTGAAGAAATATGCCAAATCCAAGTACTCATGCCAGTAGCACAAAGGCAGTAACCCTGTTAATAGCAGCCGATCTTTATAATAGGTTTCAGACTGAAACGATAAGGATAATATAAACCTTGTTGCACGCCGTTGTACTTTCTCGAGATCAAGGAATAAGTGCTACAGATTGTGGTGACCAGACTTGTGAGCTATACACAAAGTGACTTCGAACTAATGTTTTATACAGTGTGGTTCTTATACGTGGAACGCATATGTCGGCTGAAGTCCTTATGAATCCCAGCATTCTGTTGGCTATTGTACATACAGCATTAACTTGTTTGCGCCATTTGAAATCTCCAGTAATTAAAACGCCGAGATCTCTTTGTACAGCTAGTTTCTTGATCAGTGAGGTGCTAGTATAATCATCATTGATCAAGTGATAGGATGACTGAACAGAAATTACATTTCTTGTCACTGTGAGAACACCACATTTAGACTGATTTAGGGTCATACGCCATACTTGACACCACTGGAGATCCCTAACGTCCTGGGCTTTACTTATTGCACGATAACACTTGGTGTCATCAGCAAACAGGGCTACGGACGATGTTGTGGTCTGTTGAGGTAAGTCATTCACGTACATAAGAAACAACAGAGGTCCAAGTATTGAGCCTTGAGGAACACCTGATAGTATGGGAATTGGATACGATGTCTTGCCTAGGACAGTGACTTTCTGATGGCGGTATGTAAGGTAGTTTTGAAACCAATTAAACAGGTTTCCACAAATTCCAAAGTTACTTAGTTTTTTTTAGTAGAAGCTTATGATCAACTTTGTCAAAGGCTTTTGAGAAATCAAGATAAAGAATATCAGTTTGGATTCTTTGGTCAAGTGATTTCCCAATTTCATGAAGAACTTGCAGCAGCTGTGACGCAGTAGACCTCGCCCTGAGAAACCCAAATTGAAGGTTATGCAGCTGACTTGACACATGGTTGATAATTTGATCATAGATGCAACGTTCTAGGACTTTAGAAACTATGGGAAGTAAAGATATTGGTCGGAAGTTCGAAACATCATTCTTTACACCACCTTTAGGAATAGGTATTACGTTGGAGATCTTCCATTCTGCTGGGATTTTGCCTGAACTCAAACTTTTGTTGAAGAGATCACTAAGCGATGAAGATATATATGGAGCACAACATTTGAGCAATGTAGCTGGAATACTGTCTGGACCTTTAGCTTTGTTGTCATCAAGAGAAAGAAGAATACGTCTAACGTCATCAGGTGAAATTGTGATATCACCTAATGGATTGCAGGAAGTTGTGTTCGGTCGGGACTGGATGAGCATCGTAATCTTCTTGGGATAGAGGTTGATTAAACATAGAATAAAAATAGTTGTTTAAGAGATTTGCAGTTTCTTCCGGATTTGTTGCTGTAACAGTCCCATTGTCGCACTTCCAGGTAATTTCGCTGGGAACACTTGATGAACTTGAAACCGATTTGAATAACGACCAAAATCGTTTCTTATTTGATTTCATAATATCAGGCAAAGACTGGAACAATTCTTTTCACTTTTGAGTTATAAGTGATTTACACGAACGCCGAAGGTGTCGGAAATTTTCCCACAGACTGTGACTCGAGCTCTTCAGTTTAGCTTTTCTTCTAGCCGTTTCTTTTTTATTTAACAGGTGGTGGATTTCACTGTCAAACCAAAGAGGAGATTTGTGTTTCTTAAGGATTTTGGTCGGAATATGACGATACACAGCATTCATAAAACCATCGTACCATTGTTTCCAGATTTTGTCGATATCCAATTTAACTGAAACTGTCGATGGAGAGAGATTTATCGATGAAAGAGTTCTATGCAAACCCTCCCAATCTGCTGAACAGTAATCCAGAACAGCTCGCATGTCAGAGGAAGATAACTTGGCGAATACTTTGAATTCGAAAAAAAGGAGATTATGGTCACTAAAGAGGTCCATTGATTTTGGTAATACACACGAGATATCAGTGACTGATTCAGGAATGTTAGTGAGGATAAGATCAAGGATGTTCTTTGATCTAGTCGGAAACGGGTTAACTTGTTCCAGAAAAAAGTCTTGTATAAGATCTCGAAATTGTATAGAGCTGGATGAAAGAGTTTGGGAAGCATTATCACAGTTCCAAATTAAATCAAGAAAATTGAAGTCCCCAGTAATAAGTATCTTTTCATACTTTTCAGCAACTTGAAGAAAAGACATAAAAAGATCAAGCCAATCGTGGAGATCACTGTTTGGTGGTTTGTAACAGACACACAGAAGGCACTTATTTGGTTTTGCAGTTAGAAGTTCAATCGCAAGAATTTCTAGATGATCAGACCAAGTCCCTGAAGCAACTCTGTTATACTGTATTCCGTTACGCAATGCTAACAAGACACCTCCTCCACGTTTTTTAGAAGGGCGATCTTTTCTAATGATGTTGTACCCAGAAGGCAGTATTTTGTTGTCACTGACATTATCATTCAGCCATGTTTCAGTTACTGATACGATATCCAAATTTTCTGCATAAATGAGGTTGGAGTGTCATACGTGAACACAAACGACGTTTTGTAGTTTTCGAGAATGATCGTAATTATGTCCTCTTCTGGAGCTGATCCTAGTTGAAAAGCAGGGTTGATCAGATGCAGTAACATTTCTGTTGTGTTACAGTCCAGTCGAAGGTGGATGTTTTTGTCCCCATTTTGCTCTTGGATCTGCTATAACAACATCTTGTTTTTTTCAATTTGCCATACTGTTTGGACAGCATTTTAACACCCAGTACTTTAACAACTTTACTTTTATGATGATCAGCTGTTCTGCTGCTAAATTTGGTATGGACAATATACCAACTGGTTTTGCAGATCTCAAACTCAATAATTCATGAGTAAATTTGCCAACCATATTGCTTTATTTTGCTCACATGATAATACTGGATACCTGATGAAGTATATTGATCCAGTACTAGGACTGGATCAAAATGAATTCAGTCCTTGGACTGGGTCAAAATTAATTAAATAGTGATTTATTTGCATGAAATGTCATTTCAAATCCTCCAATTTGGACTGGACTAGATTTCAAGTCCTAGCATTTTGATCTAGTCCTCTACTTCACTTTGGACTTGATCAAATTGCGCAGACTTGAAATCTAGTCCAGGCGTCATAGTCGGATTTGAAATATTACTTCAAGTTAAAGACAGCTCTTCAGAATACACAAAGTCGACGTCTTTGTTGTTGCTGTCATCTTTGTGAATTTTGTAATGATTAAATCGTCATTATTAGAATGTTTATAATTTTTTATTTTCACTGGGCTTTTTGTCGCTGCAACTGCCTGCAACTCTGGTCTCTTTTCTAGCAAGAAACACACAGCTCCGCTTGGTTTCTTGTTCGATTGCACAATGCAGTTGAAGTACTTCCTTTTCGATTCTGAAGCTTTTTTGACTTCATATACGCTATGGAGATAGCACTGGGAAGGATATGAAAATGAAGACAGTAGATAAGCGATATTTAACATTATATAGAAAAATGTTGTGTTAAATAATGATAACTTTTGGTGAGCAATTGATTGTATTTTTTGTTAATTAAGCAAAGGACTAGTGATTTTGAGAATATAAAAACGTATGATTTTTTTTCTGTGTTGCTGTAATGTATTCAGGTGAATATGATGCTTGTGATATTACTCTGAGTGTATATCCACACTGGTCAAGCTTGAAAAATATGCATGACCATGGTGGGAATCTTAGATCCTTATTTCTCCTTGAGCCAACTGGTAACTTTAAGAGAGAGTGCACTGCTACCCCATTTAGAGGGGGGCATTGGGGTTTTCGGTATTACGGTTTTCAGATATTTTTTATGCGGTATTTCGGTAATATAATTTTTTAAGAGCGGTATTTCGGTTTTATTTAATCTTGCGGTATGCGGTTTTGTGGCATTTTAGTACACGGTATTCAGTAAATTTAACCTTGTATTGGCTTAATATTCTTTACTTCGCTCTTGCTTTGCTCGAGGACACGAAAGCCTTGCTCTTGTTTTGGAATCTCAACATGTTTAGGATATTTTTGGATCTTGAGGATTTTGTAGGGATCGGTAGGTTGACGATCATAACCATAGGTATCCATATATATCCAAAGCAAACATTGCGCACAAAATACAAATGGCGGACAGTCGAATCGAAGAAAGACAAAGTGGTCAAAGTGAGGAGGTTATTATTGACTGTGTGGCATTATTTTATGAAGAAGGAAAAGGAGGGGAGAATTATCGAAAGAAAAATAAATTTAGATGCCGTGTAAGCAAGGAAGCGAAACAGATTATCAAATTGAAAGAGACTGTTTGGTAAGTGTCTTGAAGTGAGCGACTGAGCGTGAATTCATAATTTACACGTGAATAAAATTATACGTCTAAAATTAGCATATTTTGAGGACTTTGAGATATAAAGCGAATGAAGTTAATGATTATAAACAGAACTGTTCGCTTTTTCTCTTGTAGATTTTTATTTAATTTATTTTACATAATATTTATGCTACATCATTACATGTCCTGATCTCCAGCATGTTTTGACGCATTTTCCTGTTATGGACTATATGGTCTATATGAAATTGATTTTTGATATTGATTTTTATAGTGAACAAGCTGGTATTAGAGGCATAGCAAAGTCTTTAGGTCTAGGCACAAATTTACAAGTGGAATTGAATAGGTAAGTTTAATGTTAAAATCATGTGTAAATCAATGAATAAACATCGCTGCATCAACAGATTTAATAGTGGCTTTCAATTATAACAATATTAGAGATAACAATTAATAGGAAATATATACATATATACCTGTCTTTTCACATAGGGAGACAAAGAAAGATAGAAGAACTGAAAGGATCTCAAATAGAGACCAATTATCAGTTAGAACTGGAGTTGCCTTCTATATTATATGGAAAGGACAAACTAAAACGTAAGTCTGTCTCAGTGACCTCAGTATGTAAACACCATGAGTGAGTGTACACACTGCGGCTCTCTGGTACTTTAATTTACAATGAAGGCACACTTTACAGTGAAACAATTAGAATATCAACACTAAAATTGTATTTCTTGTCATGAGTAATGGCCTGAATATTTCTAGTATTCAGTATCGACAGTATGGGATCTTATATGCACTCAAAACAACCTGTTTATAAACCAAGTTAAATTGTTTTGTTTTTCATCCCAAACCATACAGTAGATGAGGTTCATGGGTAAAACAAGTATTCTTTCCCCTCTTTCAAAAAATAATATGATCATATTGTATCCCGGGAAATGTCACTATTCTATATATCCCTCATTAAAATGCATGGATATAAAGAAAGAATGCTCTTATTCCCAAAACAGGTTATTTACAATGAAAATACTATGTATATCATATAGAAATTTGTGATTAAATATTCTTGTTAGCTTCAGCAGGTTTGTGGAAGTCTCTTTGGCTTGCCTTCAGGCTGTGCCCTTGTGACATCCACAAACCTCCCTTAACTTGCTGCGAGATTTGATCACAAATTTATTGAGATGTCATGATATTACAGTACTTATAATAATTTTTTTCTTTCAGTTGTAATTTATCCACTAAGAACTGTTTTCACCCCAAAATTATCATTAAAGACAAGGCAGACACCCCCAGCAAGATCCTTCCTTCTACCTCTTCAGCCCATTCATCAGCATCACATGATTTAAATGATGAGGATGAGGCAAAACTCAATGAAGGTACAGCGCATGTATGTGGATTAATGTGCGACTGCTTAGAATTGCTTAGTTCACATGTGTACCATGTGAATATCTGGATGAGACGGTTATGATTACATTCTCATTGAAAATTATTTATTTTTTATTATACATTTTGGATCATTTTGATAAGGCAAATCGGTCTCAAATAATATATCCTAAAACTCCTGCTGTACAGATATCTCAACTTATTTTATAACAACACAAACAGTTACCATAACACTCGAAGAGAGGTTGTCAATCTCAGACAAACAATACTTTATACTGTATATAATCACAATTTAAAAAATAACAAAATAACTCCTCTTTTAATTGAGCCATGCAATTGTTAGAGGCGAGCTGGGTTAGATCTGATATACCGCATTTAATCATGGCATTTTGTGAATACATAAGTGAACTTGGAAAATGCCAACTTCTAACACAGCATGATCTAGCATGAATCTGTTGACTTAGTTTGGGATAAACTATTTATTTTTTTATTTACCTAGAACTGTGAAAAAGGCAAAGCAGCAAACTGTTCAGGTGCAACACACATAAAGTGGTTAAGGAGAATGGAAAATTGGTAGAGTGGCCATGGAAAATTTGTTGTGGAATTTGTAACAAAAATCTGAAGCTGCGTTATGACGCTGGTCATAAGGGAAGAATTTCTAGTTTTGATAGACGTAAGTTGGAAATTATTGATACATGATTACATGTACAGTAGCTTTATGCTGTCATATTGTACATTGAATGAATGCCTGAATGGTGATATTCCAATACATGCTTTATATTGTATAGTTGTTTACTAAGAACTATTGCAAGTAAACTATGGAACACAAAACATTTTGGCTTCGAACCTTTCTGACCGAAAAATTTGGATTAAATTAGAAGGAGGCCCATTTTCGCCACATTTTCGAGAGACAGAAATTCTGGTCTAACTGGTCTAGCCATTAAATGGAAAGAGTCCCTTAATTACGTACAGTATCTGTAGACAACACTAGAGCACGGAAATCTGTTTTCACCTCGGACGTATGACTCAAACGAAAACGAGATGGAATATGATTCCTACAATGAGGACAATGAGGAACGTGATAGTTCGGTTTCTGAAGAACAGTCTGACGAGTATAGTTCAGATACAATGGAAGATGTAGAAGTCTGTTCGTGGTCCTCGTGCATGAAAAGCCTCAGTCTGGTGACATGGATACATGTAGCATTGACCGTGACGATTTATTCACTGTGCATGTAGGAATAGAAGAGGCTGATCCACTGTGCATCAAAATTCAGGATCTTCGAAGAGGAAAAATATCAAAGGATAAAATATTCTACAAATATATGAGTGACGTGGTGGAAATCATGTACAATCCGTTTCATGAATACGATCGAGAAGTAGTGGAGTTCTTAAACACTATTACTTGTCTTGGTGAAAAACGTACTGCATGTTTTATTAGAGGTCCGATGAACATGGGCAATGGTCAAAACAGTCACATGCAAGCTGATGGACAAAAAGATGAACCTTGGAGGACCTTCGGAAACGGTCTGTGCGAAATATCAAGCCGGGTACACCCCAGAGTCCGGTGTCATCAAGCCATTATCTTTAGGACATATCGAACTCTTAAAGAACTCTCAGGCTAAATCCCTAATAAAAATCCCGGAACTTATCACGTTTCCTTGCGCTCTGGGTAATGATGGAACTGCTCTAAAACCTGCAATTGAATTCGATTCTCGGCTTAAAGAGAACGTTGGGCTAAAAATACCCGTTGACATCAATTATCTGAAAGCAAATCCATCACCTTCTCCCGACCGTCTGAAAGAGAATATTGTGACAGAGGCAATTGTCTCGTCGTTAACCTCTTTAGATAACTTCTGCTCTCTTCCTATGGCAGTAGACTATGTTACACAAAGTGGAAAAACTGGAGAGACTATGACAAGCATGTTTGAAGAGCACATTAAAACTCTGCAATTATGCGAATCATGCCAGAAGCGAGCACCACATCAGCGTCATATTATTACTTCTCAAGCAATCAACTGCTGTAGTTTTTGTGACGTTTGCTACCAATCAAAGACGGTGTGTGAGGAATGCAGTTTACAAGGACAAGTCAGTCATGTTCCATCCTTGCGATTTTGTGACTCTTGCCATGACAACAATTCTGTTTGTGTTCGTCGGGTTGTGATGATCGTTTGTAGCGATTGTGAATCAGGCAACAAAACAGCCTTTGAAATTATAAAGGCCAAACTTGACGCAGGTAATGAAGACCCTGAATTGGCGTTTTTGTCTATTTTGCCAGATTGTCCACATGTTGGAAAAAGTATGAAAGCAGCCTTTTCCAATTGGTGGCTGAAATGTAGAAATGAGCGAATAAACCTGGCTGCGATTAGAACATTAAGAAATCGTTCGGACAAAGCCACGAGAGATAAATTCAGAAAGCTCATTCCGAAGAATGACCACGTAAAGAATAAAGATCGACAAGACCCATCCGCTGTGCTTACCTTGACCAACAAAAAAGTTTACTGATGAGCTAAGAAATGCTAGTTATGTCTGCCACACAATTATACCCGAGTTAGACAAGTACTCATCGGATAATCAACTTGGTATGTATCCATCGCCTATAAGTATTGCTATTCCTTCATATGGTTGGATTGCCTTCTTGTCGTACGACGTGAAGAGTTCCATGTCCACTCTGTTCAAGGCCCGCCTTCACAGCCCTGTCGACAAGATCTCTCCTATTGCTAGAAATCTCAAGGCTAAAGAGATTCATTGCTCTGACGGGATCATCTTTCTTGTGTCACACAGTGGTCCTATCAAAGCTATAGAATTCATAGAAGGATCGATTTCCATCAAGACCATCACCTCCAAACTTAGGAAGAAAAAAGACGTCATCGAACAGGCGGAGAAACTCCATGTACGATCTACTGGAACTGTCGCAGAGATCAGGGCTAAATTGTATTTCTTGTCATGAGTAATGGCCTGAATATTTCTAGTATTCAGTATCGACAGTATGGGATCTTATATGCACTCAAAACAACCTGTTTATAAACCAAGTTAAATTGTTTTGTTTTTCATCCCAAACCATACAGTAGATGAGGTTCATGGGTAAAACAAGTATTCTTTCCCCCTCTATGATCATATTGTATCCCAGGAAATGTCACTATTCTATATATCCCTCATTAAAATACATGGATATAAAGAAAGAATGCTCTTATTCCCAAAAGAGGTTTTTTACAATGAAAATACTATATACATATCATAAAGAAATTTGTGATTAAATATTCTTGTTAGCTTCAGCAGGTTTGTGGAAGTCTCTTTGGCTTGCCTTCAGGCTGTGCCCTTGTGACATCCACAAACCTCCCTTAACTTGCTGCGAGATTTGATCACAAATTTATTGAGATGTCATGATATTACAGTACTTATAATAATTTTTTTCTTTCAGTTGTAATTTATCCACTAAGAACTGTTTTCACCCCAAAATGCCCCACAATTTTCATTAAAGACAAGGCAGACACCCCCAGCAAGATCCTTCCTTCTACCTCTTCAGCCCATTCATCAGCATCACATGATTTAAATGATGAGGATGAGGCAAAACTCAATGAAGGTACAGCGCATGTACAGTATGTGGATTAATGTGCGACTGCTTAGAATTGCTTAGTTCACATGTGTACCATGTGAATATCTGGATGAGACGGTTATGATTACATTCTCATTGAAAATTATTT